GATAACTGCTTCTACATAGTGTAGTTCCTAAATATTTATGAACAGTTTCATCTATGGATTGTAAGATTTCACATAAGTTGCAGCTCGTTGGAATCTGTAATAGAATGTCATTATGAAATATAAAATATATAGAACTATGTCTGCAACCTAACTACCATTTATCTGAAAAGTGCCTGGAAACATAAATCTAAGCTACTAAATAAAACAATTTGGAAGTAAACATAAAACCACATTTACAGTAACTGTCCCTTCAACTGGTGAACTAGCTTATGGCTACCATGTTTATTCTACTTACTATTTTGACTCAAAATTACATAAGATTTCTATCTCTTCACAAAATGGAGTACCAGTGAATGGATTTATCTTCATATTTAAACAACTAGTAAGTAAGACAAAATATCTGAAACACTCGTTTTCATTCACTAGAAATCAAGCAGTACAGGACAATCATTCCTGAGTGGAAACAAAGGAGGTGAGCCTTTAAATGCCTCAGGTCATTGTGGTGTCTGTTTTGTTTGTTTAATATATTTTTTATTGATTTCAAAGAAGAAGGGAGAGGGAGAGAGAGACAGAAACATCAATGATGAGAGAGAATCATCAATTGGCTGCCTCCTGCATGCCCCGCACTGGGGATCGAGCCTGCAATGCAGGCATGTGCCCTGACCAGGAATAGAACCGTGACCTCCTGGTTCATAGGTCAACCTTCAACCTCTGAACCATGCCAAACCGTGACCTCCTGGTTCATACATAGGTCAACCTTCAACCTCTGAACCATGCTGGCATGGTGATCACTGTGATTTTTTTAAAAATATATTTTACTGATTTTTTACAGAGAGGAAGGGAGAGGGATAGAGAGAAACATCGATGAGAGAGAAGCATCGATCGATCAGCTGCCTCCTGCACCCGCCCTCCTGGGGATGTGCCTGCAACCAAGGTACATGCCATTGACTGGAATCGAACCTGGGATGCTTCAGTCCCCAGGCTGACGCTCTATCCAGTGAGCCAAACCGGCTAGGGCATCACTGTGATTTTGAGGCTGCATCAAAAGGACAGTAAGCCCAGGTGCAGTTCAGGAACTTCCCAATTTGAAGAGATGAAGCTGAGAATGTGGCGGGCTAGGCAGCTAACGTTTAGGGGTGGTCTACTGGAGATGAGAGAACTCCCCAGAGTGCTCCAGAGCTTTGCTAAGGCTCCCTTGAGCCTTCAGGTGAATACTACTTACTGGTGAAGGAACTGTCCAAGGCTGGGGAAACAATAATCTGAAAGGAGCAGAGTGAAAAATCCTCAAAATGCACATGAAGCTGGGAACAGTTTATGATCCCACCAGTCTGAGTGCGAAATCTTGTAATTCAAGTGTCACAGAGTAGAGCACCACGAAGGCAGTGCCTAGGAGTGAAGTGATCACCCCTAGACTAAATGCTGTTTTGTTCCTCCATAACAAAGCATAGAAATAAGCCTTGAAAAGTTCAAAAGTTCAAATTTACTTGTTTGCAAGTAAATTCCCATAACCAAGCTAAAACATCAATATTGGTGAATATCTAGCACCCAAAATGGTTAAATTCAGAATGTTGGGCATCCAATCAAAATATGAGCCATAAGGAGGAGCAAAATTAAACAGAAAGAAACACAAAACTACACAAATGACAGAATTTATAGATAAGGACATTAAGAGTTATGGTAATTGTAATCTATATGTTTAAGAAGGCAGAAAAAAGATGAAGCATATTAAGTAGAAATGTGGAAGACATTTTCAAAAAAACTAGTCAAAACCCTAAAGATAAAAAAATATAATGCTTGAGTTGAAAAATACACTGCACGGGATTAATATCAGATTAAACACTATAAAAGAAAAGCTTAATGAACTTGAAGATATATAAAAAGTATGCAAAATGAAACCCAGAAAAAATCATGAATCCTATATAATAACAGAGGAATATGCTAATGAGCCATTACACCCTGAAGCGTAATGACCAAGTGCATCAAGACCAGATCACAGATCAGCAGGAGGGTGGATCAGGAAGGTACAAGCCAGCTGTGGAGAGCTACAGGAGGTGGAAGAGCAGCAAACTATGAAGCGGGGAGGGGAAAGGGAGGTGGGGGAGCTACAGGAGGGCGGGACAGTGGGCGGAGAGCTACAGGAGGGTGGCAGCGACCTACTGGCTACAAGCAGCGGGGGAGAGCTACAGGAGAGGGCAGAGCAACAAGCTACTAGGGGTTGCAGGGGGAGCTACAGGAGGGTGGGGCAGCAGGTGGAGATCTACGGGAGGGCTGCAGCGACCTACTGGCGCACGGATTCGTACGCAAGGCTACTAGTTAAAAAATAAGAATAGAGCATTAGTAAGCCAAGGAACAATTTCAAGCAGTCTAATATACATACAGTTGGAATTTCTAAAAAGAAGAGAGGAGTGGGGTAAAATTTTGAGACATAATAGCCACAAGTTTTCCAAATTTGGTTGAAATTATAATTTTATGAATTTATGAAGTTCAATAAAACCCACACCAAAGAAAAAACATGAAGAAAACCACACCTACACACATCATAACCATATTGGCCAAAACCAATAATAAAAAGAACAAAACTTTTTAATGCATAAAGAGGAAAAAGACCCATTAAAAAGCTACAATTTAGAACTATTTAATCCCCATGAAAGTGGAATAAAGTCATTTTCAGAAATATAGGCTGATATAAGTCATTGCCAGCAGATCTTCACTAACTTGTTAAAAGATGTCTATTAGGCAGTAGAAAATGATACTTGATAGTAATCTAGATTTACAAAAAGAGTAACGATGTAGGTAAAATAGAAGATGATTTGTTATGTGTCATATCTTTCAGTAAAATTGACTATATCAAAAATAGTAAGTGTAGTATGGATTTTATATTGATATTATATGAAGCATTAAAATTAACAATGGCACAAGACCAAAAGGAAAAACATGAAAGTATACTGTTTAAGGTAACTGTTCAAGAAATGAGTGGCATAATATTACTTGGAGGTAAACAATGAGAAATTTAAGATGTCTATGATAAACCATAAAATAAACACTAAAATAATTTAAGAAAATGTATAGAAAAATAATATCAATTCTACCATAATTCTTTCAGAAAAATAGAGGAAGGACTATTGCCCAATTCATTTGGTAAGGCCAGCAGTACCATAACATCAAATCAAACAAGATTACAATAGAAAAGTACGACTAATATTCCTCAATAACCTGGTTATAAAAGTTCGTAACAAAAATATAACAAATCAAATCCAATAATATATAAAAGAAATAATACAGCCCTGACCAGTTTGGCTCAGTGGATAGAGTGTCAGCCTGGGGACTGAGGGGGCCCAGGTTCGATTCCGGTCAAGGGCATGTACCTTGGTTGCGGGCACATCCCCAGTAGGGGGTGGTGCAGGAGGCAGCTGGTTGATGCTTCTCTCTCATCGATGTTTCTAACTCTCTATCCCTCTCCCTTCCTCCCTGTAAAAAAATCAATAAAATATATATTGTTTAAAAAAAGAAATAATACAAAATAATGAAGTGGAATTTACACCTGAATAGCAAGGTTGGCTAAACATTCAAAATCAATCAATGTAATTCAATTATATTATAAATAAATCTCAACTGAAATAATTTTACTATTTTATTTCTAATAATTGAAAGTGTATTATAGTCCTATAAACAAACACACACACTCATATACCTTACTTAGTAAAACATATTCCTCATGACTAACATAATAATTTTAATAAAAAAATAGAAATAGAGCTCTACCTTTCTTGACCATCATAGTTATTTTCCACATTTTATTTTTCTGAGAGAGTGGAATATTTCAGCTTTATTACACAAATTTTAGTTTGGCATCCAGAACATATTACTAGCATGTTCTCAAAAGAAACTCCAATTTAGAAAGTTAATTTCTAATCATTAAATATTCATAAGCATTCTAAAGTAACTGTAATGTTCTTAAAAATAAAATACAATTAGATAATCAAGAAATAAAGGGCATGAAACAATTAAAAACATAACAATTATATCCGTTTTCTTTACTATTTAATAAGCTCTACAGATGGACCCTTTTGTTGCCTTCAATCATAATATAAGGAGAAAGATTTTTCCAAGAAACATGATTTTTAAAAATTACTCGGTCCTCTCACAAAACACAAATTAATATAAATAACACATGCAAACATTTGTAGTCACAGATCATAAGTTGTCATTTATTAATATAAAAGAAGAAGGAATAATCTGTAAATTTTTAAAAGATTTTAAAACAGACCTAGTGCAGGACTTGGCACATATGAGCTATTCAATAAACTAATTTGAATTCAATCAAATCAAACAATCAGTCATAAAATAATGAATAAATGAACAAATCCCAACATTACAAAGTATAGACTTACTTTACTCTCATAAAAGCATAAATTAAGAACTCAAACTATGAACATTTCAAGATAAAGCATCCTAAATATTTCCTAGCAATAAATCTAAAGCTATTAGCAGTCTATTGCTGAACACAATAAAAATGAACCATACAACACATAAATAGCAGAGATAAAGATATCAACAATAAGAGGCAGTGGGTCTGAGAGAACTGTTAAGTTCTGCTAATGCTTAGTTTTAGTGAAGATTTAAATTATGTTCAGTGTATAATAAAGCAAAAATGAGGTTACTAAACACAGCAAATAATTTCAAGTGGTACTGTAAGAAAAGAATGTTTATTTAAACCTCAGAGTATACACTTAATCAGAAAACCTGAAGAATCTCATTATTTCAAGTTTGATCCTTTTTTAGAATATAATTTCATTAAAAATTAGTACATTCTTTGATTGAGTCAAAATTATTTTATGGACTTTTTATAGAGATATTAATCACAAACATTTGTGTAGCCTTTTTCTTATATTGTTCAAAACATAAAAATCCATCTATATCATCACCTTGAAAGAAACCACATTCTTTTTCTAATGAAAATACTCAATAGTCACTAGACTGAATACTATTTTAACACTTACCTGTATTTTAATAGGCCAGGAAAAGTTGCTGACGTACACATAGAATGTAATGTTAGGATTGCTTCTAAAGTTAAATTTTTCATAGGAAAAACTATCTCTGTATTCCTTTACATTAGTCTTGGAAACTATAGGGGTCTCCTCCCCAGATATTGTTCCAGCTAAAATGTAAATAACAATAAAAAATTTAAATAAATAATTCATCTTAGAAAAAGATCTTTATAAACTTAAAAATATATTATACTTCTTTTTATAACTATACTTATAAGTACATATTTATCAAAATAAACTCATGCTTACAATCTAGAGTGACAAAAGAAAAAATAATTTTGCATAAATATAACAAAACAGATTTAGTGTAAAGTTATTTTAAAAAATCATACCACTGATTAGGCGTTACGCACTAGGCACTCGTCTCAAGTATAGAGCTACTGAAAGGGAAGTCCCTCTTTGGAACTCAGGTACATATGGCTCCAGACACTGAGTTCTTTCTACTTACTACTCCACAGAAAATTTCAAAATAAATCAGGCCATATTTCAGAAGTCTCAATTAAATTAAAAAATGAGGGAAAATCAATTTATTTGTTTTACCACAAACTGAAATATCACTAATTTGAGTAAATTGGAAGAAGGCTATAATTTAAAATATGAGCTAAATGCTCAATCAGTTAAACAAATATTTGGTATTCAATAAACATTTACTAAAATTAATCAAATGAAATAAAGCATTTTTTAATCCTCACCTGAGGATATGTTTTTCATTGATTCTAGAGAGAGAGAGAGAGGAGGGGAGAGAAAGAGAGAGAGAGAAAGAAAGAAACATCGATGTGAACGAGATACACAAGAAGTGTCGATTGGTTGCCTCCCATAAGCACCCGGTCAGGGATGCAACCCACAATCTGGGCGTGAGCCCTGACCAGGAATCAGACTCGCGACCCTTCTGTGCACAGGATGACACTCTAGCTGAGCCACACAGGCCACGGATAAAATAAAGCATTTCCAACAATCTTATCAAGCCCTTGACTTAACTAAAAGTAAAAATAATTACAGTTAGTATGCTGAACACCTGAATATTTCTTACTTATCATTATGCCAAATTGTCTTGGACGCTTTTAAAATGTAGCATTTTCACACCCTGGCAGGTGTGGCTCAGTTGGTTGGGCATCTTCCCATGCACGGAAAGGTTGCCGGTTCCAGGTCAGGGCACATGCCCAGGCTTTGGGCTCGATCACTGGTGGGGCAGTTACAGGAGACAGCCAATTGATGTTTGCTCTCACATTGATGTTTCTCTCTCTCCCTTTCCCTTCCACTCTCGGAAAAAATAAAAATTAAAAAGTAATAATTAAAAAATCTTTTTAAAAAATGTGCATTTTCTAGAGCTCCATCTTCCAACCTGATAAATAAAAATTTCTGACATTTGGTTCTGGAAATCTGAAAGTGATAAGTAATTTATTGCACAATAAAATCAGTGTTCAACAGTGACTACAGAGTTGTATATATTTATTTTTTTATTGACAAAATTAACACTCCTGTAGAGCTAGTTTACTGTACTGAAGTAAAGTTCAAATTAACAGTACAAGTTGTAAATTATTAATTAATGAAACTCATGGTGTCAAGATTTTAGTATATGTTTGCACTAATGTAACAAAATGTCTATATGTTTGCCTGAATTTCTCATTTGTTACACATGTATTATAGATTCTAGAATGCCAAAGATCTAATCACTCCTGAATTCTATGTTTCCATAATCTTACATATGAAAATTGCATAATGACCTAATTTTCAGAAATCAAATATGCAATATTTTCTTTTAAAAGAAGTTTCCAGTACTTTTATACAACAGTATATCTTTGATATAGAAAATAAAATGCAACAGAATTTCTTAAGATATAAATATATTAAAAAGTTAGCATACTTTCTCATAATCCAACATCTAGATTTGTACTTAGTTATATTTTGTAAAAGTCAGCAATTTAATTATAAAGCTTGTGCTGGAAGACATATTATGTACAGGTTTTGTTTTTAACCCTCTCTCAGCACCAAGGCTGACAAGGATTAGGGGGATAGTTTTCTAAATTTGAAGGTAACAGATAAGTTGTTAATTCATCAGCATTCACAGAAGAATATCATTGTTTTATATCAACATAAGGTTAATAATTAAATTTATAGTTTCAACAGTGAATCAAATAATTGAAATCTCAGTCTCTTTAGTTATTAAAACAGTAATATGCCTTAATTAAAATCATAGCAATTCATAATAGTGCCATTTAAAAAAATTAAGTTATGTACAGTATTTGTTCCCTATCTAATTTTAATTGAATAAGGGGGAATGTTAGCAAATAATAAAGATTTATTATTAATGCTAATTATTGTTTTTACTTGAAACAGCACAGTGATTGGGCATATAATAAAAATGTTAATTTAAATTAATAGTAAAAGGTCATGTTATAACACCTTCCACACAGAAACAGATATGAAAGATACATGGCAATAAAATTCTCTTACCTGTTGAACCAACTGACCATGTAATGTTGAGATTAAAGTTGTTTGAGGCATTAATCGAAATATCCAAGTTTTTGTTAGACTACCAAAAAAGAAAATATTAAGGTTAAAAAAATCAAATCATAGTAGCTAGATATGTTCAATGTTTAATTATGTCCATGCTATAGTTTTCAAATTCTATATATTATGACAATATTTAACTGAGTAAGTGTAGATGCCAATTACAACTCTTTAGGTGATAGAGTCAAAGGTAGATTAAAAGTTCCCATTTATCTTCTCTACTAAAATCAGGCCATCTATATGTAAGCCAGAGGCTGCTGTCATTTAATATTTGTACTTTAACTTTCTTTGCTTCTCTGTAGTTAATATTTAAATGATACAGGATTAGATTAGCCCAAAAATTTTACAGCAATATAATATTATTTTGTAGAAAGGCTTCTTGATAGGTGTATATTCTGTTATTATACACAGTTCAACTAGTTAAAAATACTTAAACTAGGTAAATGAAAACTTTCAGGTAAAAATGATGAACCACACTGGACAAAAAAAAAAAGGAGATCACATCATTTTAAACCTCTGTACAGAAGAACACTGAAGAATCTGTCAGTCAGCCTGTTTTCTTCCTGTCATTCACTAGTGGAGGATAGAGCCTTTCCACTTAATTTTGAGGAAACAAATGCCTAAAAGATTTCTTTAAATGTTATTTGTTATCTTACTCCAAGAAATGAGGAACAGAAAGTACATATGATTATAACTATTTAGTTCTGCATAAATGCAGAGGATGATAGTGGTACTGCATAAGTTTAGCTTCAGATAGTGTGTGTTGTGCTGTGTTATAAATACACAAAGACCTATACAGAAAGCTATACTGCTGCCTTAGCCGGTTTGGCTCAGTTGATAGAACATCGGCCTGCAGACTGAAAGGTCCCAGGTTTGATTCCAGTCAAGGACACTTGTCCCGATTGCCAGCTCAATCCCCAGTGTGAGGCGTGCAGAAGGCAGATAATCAATGATTCTCTCTCATCACTGATATTTTTATCTCTACTTCTCCCTTCCTCTCTGCAATCAATAAAAAATATATTTTTTTAAAAAAAGCTGTACTGTTACATGAGACCTGCCTACTAGAAAAGACATAAATAACTTCCTTAGTATGACTACTTTTTTCTAAATTGGATAAAGCAGGTAAGCCAATAGAAAATATATCTCCAATCTCCTGAGCAAATCCTAGAGAAACAAGTATGTAAGCAAGTTAAGCTCCCCATATGTGATGTAACAGCTATAAGGGGAAACTGGCTGAAATTCGTAGCCCTTTCTTGATGGATAGAAGGAGAAAGAAGAAGCCATAAAAGGCACAGGCTGCTGGATGATGTGTGACAGTCATCCCATTTAAAAGACACACTAAGATCCAATTTCATTTTTTACCTCAAAATAACATTCACTCTTAATGAGTGCCATAAGATAGAGGGATAGCTGCCATAATAATAGTTCTATGCGAAGAACTATTATTAATGTTCCGTAACTATCAGAGGACATTCTCTTCATAGTTTCCAAGAAGAAAATAGAGATTCAAAAAGAATGGTCATCTCCAAAAAGCATGCAAAAGTAAACGTAATGAATGAGGTTGAATGACTGCCATACAGATTTTCCAGGGGAGTGCTTCATGAATGCTGTAGAGATAGCATCTGAGAATTCAAATAAATCTAAGAAAAATAGAGCCTGGGAGTTTAAATAGATATAGTATTTCAGAAGGATACTGCATTATCCACCAGTCATACTAAAAAATGGCTATGAATGTAAAAAGGAAGTTAACTCATTAAGTTCTATTGATAAGCTGTTAAGATACCTCCCACAACATGTACAACAAAACTGTCCAACTTCTTGAAACCTTGCTATTTCTTTGATAATATGAGTGAAAACAGTTGACTGGTTCAAGAGAATGCCACTACTTATGACTCTAGTAATAAATGCAAAATGCTTTATGTCAGAATGCAGATAGGGCTGATCAACACATTATGTTGTTCAGCTGTGATAAGGAACATCCATTCCAACATAATGTTATATTAACAAAAGCCATAAATGAAAAGAAGAAAAATATCTGATACTAATTTTATGGATTTAGGTCACCATAATTAACTGACCAGTCCTAAAAACCAAGTACTGCTTCTATTCATTAAATCGTGTTCATGAAGCAATGAAATGAATTAATGAACAGTAATGTTATCAAATCAGATGATCTTGGGTTTAAATCTTAGCTCTTTAACATACATATAAATTTACTTAGGAAAAGCTACTTGTCCTTCCTGAAAATCACTTTTCTTATCTCCAAAATGGAGATAGGATGACCTCCCTGAAGAGTTTCTAATAAACGCCAAGAGAAATTCTAAAAAAAAAAACGGCCTGGTTTCAGACCATAAAGCTGATAATGGCAGTATTGTTGATATTCTTAGGGCTGATGACATAGATGTCTTCTTTTCTTCTCTTTCTTCATCTTCACCATGGGACTCAGAAAAGGGGCATGCTTGCCAACATCTGAGAAGGAGTTGGTTTTTTTTTATTACAATAAAGAATTTCAAATATTGTTACTTTTTTTGTTGTTGTTAATCCTCACCCGAGGATATTTTTTCATTGATTTTTAGAGAGAGTGGAAGGGAGGGGGAGAAAGAAAGTAAAACAGTGTTGGTTATATGTGGATAAGACAGGGAAGATCATGTCACATAGGAAACTACTCCAGAAATTGTTGACATAAAAGCACTACTTATAAGTGATGCATAGTTTCCTCAAAAAATTAAAAATGGAACGTCTATTTGACCCAGTAATCCCACTTCTATGAATATATATCCCAAGAAAAAAGAAACACCCATCAGAAAGGATATATGCACCCCTAGGTTCATAGCAACACAATTTATAACAGCTAAGATTTGGAAACAGCTTAAGTGCCCATCAGCTGATGAGTGGATTAGAAAACTGTGGTACATCTACACAATAAAATACTACACTGCTATAAAAAAAAAAAAGAGGAGGAATTCTTACCATTTGCAATAGCATGGATGGAACTGGAGAACATTATGCTAAGCAAAATAAGCCAGTCTGAGAAAGATAAATATCACATGATCTCACTCATTTGTGGAATATAATGAACAACGTAAACTGATGAACAAAAACAGAACCAGAGACAAATGGTAGGGGAGGGGGGGGCCGTTAAAGAGAATACTTTAAACAATAAAGAATTTAAAAAGAAAAAAGAAGTGATGCATAGTGGGTTAAAAATAAACCTATTGTCTAAATGTACAAAACGCATAAATAATTAAGGTATATATTTTTATTGTTGATTTTTGAAGGATAGGTAGGAAGCCCTGATCATTCACATTAATTTCAGAAATTGTTCCAAGTTGGATAACTCTTTAACTCTAGATGATAATTATAAATTATATATAATAATGTTATAAGCATCCTGTGTGGCACCTTTCATGATAGTTCAGCATCCTTTCAAATAACACGTGTCTAGGCTACTGGCTTCAATGGGACAAGACAGTAGAAGGGAAAACTGAAAGCTGGGCCATTTGGAAGCACTCAAGAATTGCTGGAAACTGCAGGAGGAGAGCATAGTCAAGAGAGAAGTAAACTAGGATGACAGCTAATTTGAACCTCTGTGTATGACACTATGCATAATACTGAAGAGGATTATCATTCATGTCTACATTTTGAGCTGGATGCCCCACTTACATTAAAACTTTTTAAATATATTTTTACTGATCTCAGAGAGGAAGGGAGAGGGAAAGATAGAAACATCCACAATGAGAGAGAATCATTGATAGGCTGCCTCCTGCAGGCCCCCCCAACTGGGTATCAAGCCCACAACCCGGGCATGTGCCCCAACCGGAAATAGAACCAGGACCTCCTGGCTCATAGGTCAATGCTCAACCACTGAGCCACACCAGCTGGAGCAACATTAAATTTTTTATATTCCCAAAGATCTCTACAAGTTTGGAATTACTATTAAATATTTAAGAAGTCAATGGTAAAGAATGAAATTCTCATACATGCTGAAACATGGATCAACTTCGGAAACATTATGCTAAGTGAAATAAGTCAGACACAAAAAGACAAATATTGTATGATTACACATATAGCTAGAATACACAAATTCATAGAGACAGAAAGTGAAATAAAGGTTACCAAGGGCTGGAGGGAGGAAGGAATGTTGAGTTATTGCTTAATGGATAAAGAGATTATGTTTGAAATGATGAAAAATGTTGGTGATGGAAAGTGGTGATGTTTGCACAACATTGTAAATGAACTTAATGCCACCACGTTTTACACTTAAAAATGGCTGGGATGATAAATTTTACTTTATGCATATATTGCCACAACAGAAAAGAAGTCCATGGTGATTATAACAATATAAAAACTTTCTTATCAGACTGATAAATATACTATATGACATATTATTAATGTCTTTAAAAGAAAACAGTGAAGAAAGGGTTACACTTGGAAAAATCATTTTCAAAAATCCTTATTTAAAAGTCAAAACTTTAAATATATTCCCAAGAATATAGGCATTCCTTAAAATCTAAAGAATAAAGAGTCACATAAAATGAACTGTTGTAATTTTTTGGAAGGAGAGATTCTATTTCACTAGAAAAGAAAAATTTAAGAAGTTATATTATTTTCTGACAAGTCCTATAAGCTATCTTAAAGGAAAAAAGCTAGCAAATGATAGGAAGTATTTTGAGGTTTCACCAATTTAAAAAAAATTTTGAAAAACTATTAGAACACAAGATATGGATTTAATCAGATGGATAAATATGTAATAAGAATACACATGAGACAGAGGGTAACATCGGCAAGATGGCAGGATTAGAAGTCCAGGTCCTCATCCCCACAAAAACACCCACTGAGCAATGATATGTGGACCAAAATAACTTTGCAAGAGGACCAAAAGCCAGTTAAGAAGTTGCAGTAACAAAGATGAATACAAACCAAGAATTGCCACATTATAATGGGTAAGGGGAGCAATTTCACTTTACCCACATAAGTCCCTCCCCAAGGCCAGCACAGCTCACCCTCAGAGCCATCGCCTCAGCCTATAAATTCCCCATCAGGGGAAAAAAGGGAATGCACCAGACATCAACATCCTTGGCCTTTCATGGCACAACCCAAAGGACCTGCTTCTGTCTCCCTTCACCCAGGGCTTTGAGAGAACAAGCACAGTGTGGGTGGCTCAGCGCAGCCGACATTATGCAGTAAGACCGGGAGAAGGTGCACAACCCTGAGACTTCTCCCCAAGAGGGAGGGAGAGGAAGGGAGCATGCATCCATCATTCTAGATTTTCTGTGGACTGCCAAAGGGAAAAGGGTGTGCAGCTCATTATGGCCAATGGGGCTCTGTGAGACTGAGAGAAGGCACATGACCCAGAAACTTCTCCCTGAGGAAGAAGGGAGGGGAATGCAATATGCCACCAACATCCTCGTCATTCAGGGCACAACCACAGGGAAAGGAGGGCGTAGTTTACTGAGGTCAGCATGGCTCTGCAAGACTAAAGAAAGGGTCACAACCCTGAGATTTCCCCACCACTGATGCAGTAAGTTGGTTAAAGAAGCTAGCATCCCATTATGCTAAGTGAGATTAAGTCAGACAGAGTAAGACAAATACTGTATGACCTTAACTTATATGTGAAATCTTAAGAAAGCCACAATCCTATATAATAAAAGCCTAACATGCTAAGTGTCCGGTCCACCCGTCGGCTGTTCAACCAATCAAAACGCAATATGCTAATGATATGATAAGGCCACTCAACCACTCACTATGACGTGCGCTGACCACCAGGGGGCAGACAGTTGACTGGTCAACCAGTCACTATGATGAGCATTGACCACCAGGGGCAGATGCTCCGACTGGTAGGTTAGCTTGCTGCTGGGGTCCAGCCAATCGGGACTGAGTGAGAAGGGCCGGACATGCCAGGAGCCCTCCCATGGTCTCTCCCTGGTTGGCCAACCTTCCACGTCCCTCCCCAGCCCCAATCGTGCACAGGTGAGGTCCCTCGGCCTGGCCGGCGCCCTTTCTCAATCCAGGACCCCTCAGGGGATGTCAGAGAGCCACTTTCAGCCCAATCTGGCAAGCCAGGCTGAGGGACCCCACTGGTGCATGAATTCGAAAATAAAAGAGAGAGTAGAATGGTGGTTTCCAGGTGCTATGAGGTGGGGGAACTGGAGGGATGTTTAAGGGTATAAACTTCCAACCAGTAGACAAATAAATCCTAGAGATCTAATGCACAGCACAGTGATCATAGACAACAATATTGTATTATAAACTCCCAAACTGCTGAGAGGCTAGCTCTTAATTATCCTTACCATAAAGAAGAAATGATAATTACGTGACACCATAGAGGTGTTAGCTATATGCAAAGGTCATAATCAAACTGCAATATATAAATGTATCAAATCAATATGTTTTCCAATTTAAGCTTACATAATGTAATATGTCAATTATATTTCAATGAAAATGATTAAGAAAAAAACCAGCCAGCATTCCTGTATCTCAGATAACCTGGTAGATTTAGAAAAAAAAGACTTTGAAAATCTACTATTTAAGTGTATAAAACTAAAAAATATATATTTGATATAGCATATTTTGAATATAAAGGTTATATTTTCAAATAAGAGTACTCCCAGTTTGAGAGCAAATTATAAACACAAACACTACCATAAGCCCCCCCAAAATTATAGTATAATTTAAATTGTAGAACTCTTTGCAAGATCTGAAATATCTATCTCACAAGTTCTCTAAATCACAAGGAAACCTAAGTTTTTACTTTTATTTTTTTGTTAATCCTCACCTGAGGAAATTTTTCCATTGCTTTTTAGGGGGAGTGGAAGAGAAAGGTAAAGACAGAGAAACATCCATATGAGAGAAACACATGGACTGGTTGCCTCCTGCATGAGCCCCGATCAGGGCCCGGGTCTGGGAGGAGCCTGCAACCAAGGTATGTGCCCTTGGATGGAATCAAACCCAAGACCCATTGGTCTGCAGGTCGATGCTCTATCCACTGAGCCAAACCAGCGAGAGCCTAAATTTCATTAAAAGAAAAATTTAACAGGATTAATCTTTCTTAAAAAAAACCCAAAGTCTGATTATTCTAAATAGTAAAACTGCAATCAACAAAGACAAAAAACTTGTATCCCTTCCTATAAACGTAATTGTTTTATAAAAGCTGAGTTGTCTTCTCACCTGTTCTGGGTTTGCTATGAAGTTGATGGCAGTGTGGTGGCGGTCGTCCTCCTGCAATAAGCTGAAGGTAAACTGATAGTCGATCAGAAGACTGTCTGTGGGGAAAGAATACAATCCTGATGTGGAATTTTAAAAAGTGCTTGATAAACAAGGGGAAAGCATATTACGTATCAGTATTGAAAATGACTATCATTAATTGTTAGTGGCCCATGTAAGATTAGCAAATTCTAAATCACTGTCATTAAGCAACAAAAAGCAAGCTACAGATATGGAAGAAATCCTAATTCCTTAAAAATCCCAATTATTATTTCCGTTGTCATCATAACAATTCTCCAAAACCGTAGGCATTTTAAAAATTATATAAAAGTAAGAATATTAAAAACATTTTGGTGCATATTATTCCAGTTAAAATTTTGTAAATATAATGATAGACAAACATTTTGCTATCTTACTTTAATATAAATCAAATTTCCTAGAAAACATGAATTTTAACAGCTAACTAAAAGTACATCACATGCTGTAATGAGTTTATTTATTCTTTTATTATTGTGGTAATTTTAGCAATTATAAAATGACTCTGTGGTAGACATTATTCTATAGAAATGGCTCTCATTAGCAACTGATAAAAAAGAATACAGGGGTACACAATTTTAATTTTGTCCATGGATAATGCTGAAACCAAAGTCAAATAGTCAAATGTTATATGTCATATGTAGTTTCACATGTTACGCAAGGGTAAAGCATTACTCATAGTGTAACTCCGAACTCTGTAAAAAGATATTTCAAATTATTTAAAATAGAGATGACTTGTATTTTTGGATCAATTCCTTTCATGTTGTGCCCAATTAAAATAAAATGTAGAGGTAAAGTCAAGGGCCAGTGTTGTTCTAGGCACTGGAGATACAATAATAAAAGACACAAATTTCTGTCCTCGTGCAACTTATATTCTATTGGATGGACATCAAAAAGTAATTAAATAACTTAAGTATGTAACTGATAATGATAAATGTTTTGGATGATAACAAATCAGTGAAAAGGACAGAAATGGTTGTCAGGGTGGAAGTATGCTTGCAATTTGGAGAAGGAACATTTGAAAATCAAAGATCGTAAGAGAATAAACCGAGGAGTTTAGTAGAGAAACTGTAACCCAGGCAGAGGAAACAAGTACGGAAACCTCAAAGAAAGAGCAAGCCTTAACAAGGGTTCTTTTCAAGAGGCTGTGGCAAGAGGTGACGGAGGTGAGGATGATAGCAGTGGAGGTCATGAGAAGAGGTCAGACATAAGGAATGCATTTGGAAGGTACAACAAACGGGATTAGCTGAATAAATAAATGGATGGAGCATTTGAAAGATAAAGTTGTTTTCGTTATTGTTTTTTTTTTACCCAAGACCAAGCATAACATGAGCATTTGCTGAGATGGGTAAGGAACCTGGGTTTTATCTGTTGGGAATTGGGGAATAAATAGAATCATAGTTTTTAGTTATTGAAAATGTAAGTGACATGTTGAATAGATTTCAAGAGCATGTTTACTGGATAGCAAGTTGGAGGTTATCAGCATTTTGGATGGGATTTAAGGCTCTGGAGCTGAGGAATCACCAGGTGAAGAGAACAGGGATGAGTCCTGAGACATCCACTGCGAACTAATGAAACCCTCAGAAGGAGCCCACGGAGGAGACTGAGAGGGCAAACTGTAAGACAGGAAGAACGCCAGTGTCTAGTGGATGGGGCCCAGCAAGTACAATGCTGCAAATGGAGAGTAGTGATCAGCAGTCACCTGCCGTTGGCAGGGGCTCAGAAGTGGGGCTGCAATACTGGAGAGAGGTATCTGCTCAGAATGAAGGGAAAACACCACTAAGAAACACTAAACACTTTGAAACTAATTCCAAGACTAGGTCTGCATAATTATCTTTAAGGTTTTCTAGTTTGAAAGTGAACATTAACAAGTCAGGAGTAGCTGCCCGTCAGAAGGTCAGGTCTGGGTGACTTGGGACACCTGCGCATCCCTGGGCAAAGCTGCAGCGCCCAGGCCTCTGGACACTCCTCTGCCTTTTGGGGCGATACCCCTCGGGCACAGGCATGTGCCACCAAATTCTCGGTGAGGCTTCATACTTGATTTCTCTATTCCTATTTGGGGAAGTTGGAAGGACAAGAAGAGCACAATGTATATTATGTACAGTAATGAGCAATCCTAATGTCAGTGGGGCTAAAACAAAAGAAGCCTGGCCAAGAGCAAAATCAGTAGGACTATTACTCATTTCAAGTGACTAATAAGAATACCATTCGGTGAATGTGAATTATTAATTGAGGAAAGTTCAGGCTTCTACACAAAATGCCTCCTTTTAAAGCTGCTTGGAAAGAAAGTCTTCCAGAAGCCAACTGCGCAATTTTTCACTTAAACAGGAGATGATCTAGTTCTCCCCTCAATTGAAATATCCTGCTCATATATTTTTAAGAGTATTACAAATGAATAATTAATTACCTGGCACTTAAAACATGTACCATATTGCTTGCATTTACTCTGTCCTTCTGAGCTAAATAGGGTACAGAACATAAAACATTAAAATTTAAAATATGTCAAGTTTATACAAATAAACATTTTGAGAATAAGTGTTTGTACTGCTTTAATGAGCTACTTTATTATTATGGTTTAAAAAGGAAATTTGAGTATAAATCAACTCAAATAATTTGTTGTATTATCGATAAACACAGAGAAATGAAAAACTAGCAGAAGTAAGTGTGTTCAAGAGAGGTGAGAATCTTGTTTTTAAATTGGAAAAAATAGCATGATTTTATCCTCATTAACATAAATAAGAATTGAGGCCCTGACTGGTAAGCTGAGTTGGTTAAGAGTGTCATCCCGTGCACTGAAAAAAAATATCTCATTTATCAAAAATAGAAAAATAGCCCTATCCGGTTTGGCTCAGTGGATAGAGCGTTGGCCTGTGGACTCAAGGGTCCCAGATTCGATTCCGGTCAAGGGCATGTACCTTGGTTGTGGGCACGTACCCAGTAGGGAGTGTGCAGGAGGCAGCTGATTGATGTTTTTCTCTCATCGATGTTTCTCTCTATCCCTCTCCATTCCTCTCTGTAAAAAATCAATAAAATATATTTTTTTAAAAATAAAAAAATAGAAAAATAAAATCCAATAAATAATGGGCTTATAAATAATGTATTTTAGTTCGAGACATAAAAATTAAGTAAATCAATAATAATGAAAGGGTGTAAGGGACATAAATGGGTATTTTGTTTTTATACAAATATGAACTAGGGTAAGATACTATGAGTAACAGAGGTGATCTCTGTATATAAAGTAGTAATTAAATTCCTTACTCTTAAAAAGGTAGTGCACCATCATCACAAAATTGCATCCTAAACTCTAATAGAAGAAACTTTAAAAACAACAACACAGTATTCTTTCAAAGGGTGAGATAAGCCAAAACATGTTTGATTCCTTGGAAATGTACTAAAGCACAATTATTAGGAGTTGGAAATGGCATGAGTTAAAGGATCAGCGCACAGTACCACAGAGTAGGTGACTGCAGGAAGTCACTTGCTGTGCTTGATTCTTATTGAAAACGTATCATCCATAAACATTTTCATAGTCCAGTCTTTCACTTCGTGTGTAAGGTTTTCTTGGTTACAATTAACATTATAGTGAAGTGGGAGGTGGAGGGAGGTGAAGGAGGGGACAGGGGGGTAAATGGTGATGGATGGAGACCTGATTTGGGGTGAACACAGAGAACAGTGTACAGATGATGTGTTGCAGAACTGTGCACCTGAAACCTGTATAATTTTAACCAGTGTCACCCCAATAAATTCAATAAAAAGGAAATTAGTAAAAGATCTGCCTTCCCAGCTACTGAAGTTCCCAGATTCAGGTTTCACATAGTGCTCAGGGGTCAACTACGCAAAAGCTGGGTGTTTAAATACAGTGGTAGTGAAAACAGAAAAAAGCATTTAAGGATAAAAGAAGCTACATTAGTTTCAGACCACTACTCTCTATATTTGCTGAATAAACTGCATAATTCAGTGTTTACAAGGGTCAATTTAATTAGATATTATTGCTAGAAACTTTTTTTTCCATGTGAGACATGACAAATTTCTAATACATTCAGTTTTTTATTTTAAACTGACATTTAAAAACTACTAAGGCTGTCTACAGGACACAACTGCTGGCACATTACTGTCAATTAAGTTAACACCGTATTGTATTCAATTGCTCTATGTTATAGGGTAGACCTGCATTTTAAATTTCACTCTGATCTTTTAGATCAGGAAAGTTTTCATTAACACCATTACAAGAACTACTGACCTTTTCTTTTTCTTCAACACCATTTTTTTTTCAAATGTCATTAAGCTCTAAAGGTCTCCTAAGAAATGACAAGACTGCCATCTAGCGCTTTGTGACTATTCTTTTAACATTTTAAAAAGAACAGTGAGAAACCAAATGTAGGCAAAACAGCAATAATTTTCTTAAATTACTAAAGATAAAATTTAAAACTGATGAAGTAGAAATCACAATCAGTGGAAAGAATAATCCCAAAATTTCATGCTGTAACGTGGCAATAAATAAGATGAACAACAAAAAAACTATTTCCACCAGAAATTTTGGTGGAATTTAGCTAATCTTGGAGGTTCACTTAATAATATTTTTAACTATTCCTGGTTTTAAAAAAGATAGCAATCTTCTCATTCACTTTTAAAAACTAACACCATAGATATACAATTTGAAGAGAGAAAAGAAAAACTAAAAAATTACAGTTAAAGTCATTTCATTAGAAAAAAATAAATGTAAAAAGATAGTTTACATTAATTTATACTGAAAATAACCCTAAGTTAAATATAAACAAATAATATTTAGTGGTATTTCAAATAATATGCCAGGACTATGTTTGCTTTACCCCAGAATGAAAAGATGTTTAACATTAGAAAATCCATTAATGCAACTTCACATTTAACAAAGTACCTGCCCACTGTGGCTCAGTTGGTTAGAGCACCATCCCATATACCTATCGATTCCCAGCACATACCTAGGCTGCAGGTTCAATCCCTGGTCAGCCATGAATGGGAAGGCAACCAATCAATGTTCTTCTCACTTTGATGTCTCGCTCTCTCTCTCTCTCTCTCTCTCTCTTTCACTTCCACTCTCTCTAAAATCAAAAAGCATATCCTCAGGTGAAGATTAAAAATAAACAAGTAAATACTGAAGCACACTAATATAAATAAGAGTTTTCTTAACTACAGAGAATATTCCATATATTATATCAAAGTCTCTACTTGATCACAATATCTACTACCATCATTTTGACTCACTACTGAAATGGAGATCCCAACAATTCCAATAAGAAAATTAAAAAATTGACAAGGGAGGGGGGAAAAACTGTCCTTATTTGCATGCAATATAATTAACTACATTTAAAAATCAAACAAATTGATAAAATTAGAATATCAGATCAATGTCCTAAAATTTTATTTTCATGTCAAGTATTAACAGAAAATGCAATTTTAAAAAAGACTGCTTAAAAAATAACGAAGTATTATAAAATTACTATTTTGCACTAATCTAACAAAACATGTGTGAAGCATCAACACGAAATAGAGCTCAAAATTATGTCATACAAGAAATGCAAATTAAAACTGCACGATACTACTATATATACTCTAGAATTGCTATAATCAGAAAGACAATATGAAGTATTGGTGGGGATGTAGAAAGCCTGACACATTTATAAACTGCATATGAAAATGTAAAATGGTAGAGCCTTTTGGTGAAATCATTTGGCAGTTCTTAAAAAGTTAAACATAAGCTTATCATATAATCTGGAAATTCCACTCCTAAGAATCCACTCAAGGAAAATGAAAATATATGTCTACACAAAGACCATCTTAATGTTTATATTACCATTTCTCATAATAGCCCAAGCCTGGCACTAATCCCAATGTTCTATATCTGGTGATTAACAAATTGAAAACAGTGGTATACCTAGTTGTACCATTTGCTGTATTAACCAAGTAAAATAGAAACACCTTATAATCATCTTAATTGATGTAGAAAAACCACATGAAATAAACAAACACCAATTCTTGATAAAAATGCTCAGCAAAGCAAAAATAGAAGGGAATTTTCTCAACCTGATAAAGGTATCTAGGAAACACATCATAGTTAATGATGAAAGACCGAAGGCTTGCTCTCTAAGATCAGGAATAAGACAAGAATATTGACAAGCTCACCACATCTTTTCACAGGTTACCACAGTAGTAGCCAATGCAAAAAGGCCAGAAAGAAAAAACAAGTATCCAGGAAGGAAAGAAAGAATTCAAATTCCATTATTGCAGAATACATGGTTGTCTATATATAAAATATGACAAAATCTACAAAAGTGATACCAGAATTAATAAGTGAGTTTAGCAAAGCTGAAAGATACAAAATCAACACTGTAATCAATTGGTGAAAACACCAGACACAATCAGTGCTGGGGTCCAACCCCAGCAGGTCCAGGGGTTCCCCAAAGGTGTGGACGGAGTCGGCGAAGAAGGAATGACACAGAGACAGCGTTCAGTTGATCAGCAGCCTAGCCAGGATC